AGTTTCCCAATACTTTCTATGGAGAAGGCAATGGCACCCCACTCCAGTACTCTTGCCTGGAAAATACCATGGACGGAGGAGCCTGGTAGGCTGCAGTCCATGGGGTTTCTGAAGAGTCAGACATGGCTGAGCGACTTCACTTTCACTTTTCACTTTTATGCATTGGAGAAGGAAATGGCAACCCACTCCAGTGTCCTTGCCTGGAGAATCCCAGGGATGGGGTTGCACAGAGTCGGACACAAATGAAGTGACTTAGCAGTAGCAATACTTTCTACTGAATTTATATTCAGATAATTACATCTCTAACCATGAACTCCTTGAATCAATGTTGGGTTTCTAATGGTTTGGTATAGGTAACTAATGCTTTGCAGTTAGTTGTTTTTTTTTTTTTTTTTTTAAGAAATTATTGGATCTGAGCTGGGGAGAGGGTTAGACATAAGAAAAGGGAACAAAACACTCTTCAGCCATTAGCTCCCCAATCTAATATTATAATGGGTAGCTTCACAACACTCTAAAATCTTAAAAGACTCATTTTTATTCTAAAGCAACTAATTAGACATTCTTTTCAGTTTTTCTAAAATTTTACACATTTTAATTATATTAATGTAAAGGTAATGTCCAACAGAATTTCCTTAGTGACACATTAATGAATATTTTTATAGTATTGTACTAACAAAAAATTAATGTTTAGAGCAAGATATATCTTAATTCTCCTTTTAAATAATCATACCACACCTGTTATAAAGAACTGTTTGCTTTGGGGAGCTATAAAAATCTTTTAAAACTTATCAGAGGTCTGATATTTTACCTTTTCTTTATTAAAATGTTAAAGAAAGGATTTTTTTTTTTGAGAAACTGGTCCTGAAACTGTGGCTTTTATTTTAGTTGACTGGGAAGAATACACACTGTAGGACAAATAAGCGAGTCCTATCTGATGAAGGTCAATGATGGCTCAGTCCGGTGAATAATGATTTCATCAAATAGTGTACATCAACTAAATTTTAAGTAGTAGTGAAAATATGGTTGATTTTGTTGTTTCTAAGAATCTTAAACTAAGAAAAATTATAACAGAAATTTTAAAAATTCTCAATATCATAACAAAAAGTATATTCTTAACAATATTCATGGTGGGGAGATTGGAGACTGCCTATATATGAAAGTGAAAGTCATTCAGTCATGTCTGACTCTGCGACCCCATGGACTATATAGTCCTTGGAATTCTCCAGGCCAGAATACTGGAATGGGTACCATTTCACTTCTCCAGGGGATCTTCCCAGCTCAGGGACTGAACCCAGGTCTCCCACATTGCAGGCGGGTTCTTTACCAGCTGAGCCACAAGGGACGCCTAATATGTGAAAAGAAACCACTAAATGAGCCTACCATTGCTAGTCTTCCCTATTCAGCTACCCATAATAAAAAGAGATCCACAAAAATAATTTGTGCAACATTTTGGAAGTTTCAGAGTTGGTAACTACAGGGTAAGCTACATGAATCTCTATGTTCCAGAATCTATAAAATCAATCTATAAAGATTTATATAAATTCCAGAATCTATAAAGTTTATCTTTCAGATAGAAGGAAAAAAAATCTTTAGTATTTTTTCACTACCTTAGTCACGCCCTTTTAAGTTACTAAATTCTTGTGATTTATCATGCAGATTTTGTATTTAAAAAAAAATATATTAACACTATCAGGAGACACAGATACATACTTGTGTGTTTCTAAACAACAGTGACTTTGCCAGTGCAATCAGAACAAAAGTATTCAATTTGAGTATTAATACTCAAAAATATTAAATGTCTTTTAAAATACACCTATTAAGAGCATACATAAAAAACAAACAAAAAGGAGTGTATAACCTAAAAAACAAACCAGTCTAGTTTGAAAACAAGACATGGATTTGCTTAAAGGACCCATAAAAATGGTTTAAAGTTACTTCACTTTCAGAACAGAATACTAAACATACCCTTGAGAAACAAAGGCTAGCCTACAAACACAAGGAATCTGTCTTTTAGCTTTCATCTTCTCACTGCTAAGTTCGTGAGAGTGGCAGCAGTGGTATGTACCTAGCACTTCAAAACTTTTAGAGATAGGAAAAGGCCAAAGACCCAGGGGAATGTTACTTCTGCCGCTGCTGCTGCTGCTAAGTCACTTCAGTCGTGTCCAACTCTGTGCGACCCCACAGACAGCAGCCCACCAGGCTCCCCCGTCCCTGGGATTCTCCACGCAAGAATGCTGGAGTGGGTTGCCACTTCCTCTAATGCATGCTGCTGCTGCTGCTAAGTCGCTTCAGTTGTGTCCGACTCTGTGCAACCCCATGGACAGCGGTCCACCAGGCTCCCCTGTCCACAGGATTCTCCAGGCAAGAATACTGGAGTGGGTTGCCATGTCCTTCTCCTGAATGTTACTTCTAGGGCTCCCGTAACCAAGTCACTATTAACACAGATGCCCATGGGCAGCTGAGGCAAGCTCCCAACAGAGTCTGAACTAGAACTCACTTCATCTAGAAGGAAGGGCAAGCAGGAAGGAGATAATGAGAACTGTCCCATCTTGGACCAAATTCCTTTTTCTCCTACATGATTTCTATCCTACTCAGTGAGGCTTTTGTAAATGATGTGCCTTGATTGAACAAATTTCTGTAGTAACAGATAAACAGAGCCATAAAATGGTCCACTCTCTTTACTTGTAAAAGGTTAAAACAAACATGAAACCAGTCTTTTAAAGTATTTCTTGTTATAGATTTTTTGACCCAGATAAGAGAAAGAGAGGAAATGGAAACGAGAAGGGAAAGATTTAGATAATCAGGTGGGAAAGAAAAGAGTCACAGGTAAACATAAGTTATGATTGAATTCCTGGACTGAAAATCAGGAACCTGGTTTATAACCCAGCTCTGCCATTAGCTGACAACCGTGTAGGGGAAGAAAAACACTCTGAGGTTGTAGGGAGAAGAGAAATTTCTGATTATTCTTTTTGGAAATAGATTTGTTCAAAATTACACTACCTATAGAACAGTAAAAGAGGGACAGTCCATGAAAGCTGTCACTTCAACACAATCTGAATGGGATTCTTCATACAACACTAGATATTTTAGATTCAGAAATGAAGGTCATAGTCTTTGCCTTGAAGGTGTTCAGCATCCAGTTAAGGTTTTGACTAAAGGCTAACAGAAAAACAGTCCTAATGTCTGATTCTGTCCTTTCCCAAGAATGTTATATGAAGGAAGCAACAATGCTTAGAATCTTGACATTCATATCTCAGAAATGAAGCTTAAGAGAAATTAACTTCAGGGGACCTAAGTTTACTGACTTTACACTCAGTGCTCTGATACACATGAAAAGTATATCATATGAATATCAACTAAGCCATATGAATGTCAACTAGCTATGCTCTCCAAAGCCCTGTTCAAGTCTAAAACTGCCTGATACCTGACATCAAAACACGACCAATAAATACCCACAAGTTCCTCAAAAAAAAAGTCAAAAAAAAAAAACCAACAAAATACCTACAAGCTTCACACACCTTAAGAGCTTTAAAAATATTGCCACTACTAGCTTTAAGTATGTCTCTTTGCACATATCTTTGCACAATTTGAGGCACAAATACACATTTCACTACTATATATGTTGTCCTATGAGTAAAACAGAGCTTCTCTGGTAGCTCAGCTGGTAAAGATTCTGCCTGCAATGCAGGAGACCTGGGTTTGATCCCTGGGTGGAAAGATCCCCTGAAGGAGGGCACTGGCAACCCACTCCAGCATTCTTGCCTGGAGAATCCCCATGGACAGAGGAGCCTGGTGGGCTACCGTCTGTGGTCACAAAGAGTTGGACACCACTGAGCAACTAAACACACACATGACTAAAACATAATTAGGATTTCCCCAATCTTGATTTAAACAACTTCATAATTTATTTGTAAATGTACACAAGCAGGAAAAAATAAAAGTTACTAGAGTAGAAATGGGAATAAGAAATACTAATTTCAATCAGAAAACTCTGTGAGTCTACAGATATGCACACTGATTGTATATCCTCTCAAACCTGAGACTCATTACTTTGTGTCTCTATTTCTGGTTTTTGTCATGATCCCTGAAAAGGGAACAAAAACACAGAAAAAAGGAGAAAGAACTTTGAAAGGGAGGGTTTTCCAAGTTGGGAATACTTTCCTATTTGTCTATAGAGACTTAAAAAAAAAGCGTGTCAAAATCTGACTCACAGGAAACTGCTTTTTCACTAAGGTGAATTAAGATGAGTATTTTCTAACGACATATTTATCCCTGTCAACGTCCCACTGAGAAACTGCAATGTCCAGCACCACAATTTAACTTGAAGACTAGCAGGACAAATCACATATACAACACCATAAAAATTTAACAGAAGTTGCCGAAAAAAAGTATAGGTCTATCTGGCAAAAGTGGGGAAAAGGAATTTTCTAGATAAAGTGCCATAGTAATTTGGTTTTAAAGGCTGGATCAAATTTTAAACACTAAACTGACGGTATTTTAATAAAGGCCACTGAAACAGGCTGTTAAACGAAACTCAACCACGTCTAATTTCAATAATTCCCAAACTACTCGAATGGGTTTAAACTCCACGCAAAGAGACTTCCCTTTCTCTTTCACAACCGCACCGGTACACACACACACCCGCACCGCACCGCCACCCGCCCCTAAATCCCAACAGTATAGTACACGCGAACGAAGAAGGCTATTTCTCCGGAAGAGGCAAAACTGTAGATATGGCACTAGCACGCTGGCCTAAATTCACAGAAACCAGATGCGAATGGCAGGTACAGCGTCCAGCCCAGGGAAACACCAAGACTGGCTCACAACTTCTCCGATCCAGACGCACAACACAATGCAGACCTAGTTCCTGGTCCCTCCTGTAACAAATCAAAGCTCAATCCTGATGCCAGCGAGAGCCACGCTGAGGCTGCACTCACGTCGCTCTCCGCCCGCTCCCGGCCCCGAGCCCGCCCCGATCCCCGGCGTAGCCTGAGCTGTACCTGGCGAAGAAGTCGGCGAAGCCGCCGCTCCGTCGAGCCCGAGTCGAGGGCCCGGTAGGGCCCTGTTCCGCGGCCGGCAAGGACACCGGCGCCCCCGCCGGCGGCAGGTGGTCGCGGGCGCTTTGGCAGCGGCTCACCTCGAACGTATTCCGAGAGTTCAAGTGAACGTCAGAGAAATCGACGCGCGACTTGGCGCCGGAGCCCCCACTAGTCCTCTCCGCCGAGGTGATGGGCGACGTGCCCTCCTCGGAAACCCCGGCTCCGGCTCCCGGCCGCTCCAAGTCCTCGCTGCCGCTGCCGTCGCTGGTCGAACTGTCCCTCGCGCCGCTGCCCGAGCCCTCGGGCTCCTCGGCGTCCGCCGCCTCCAGGCAGCAGCTCCGCAGTGGGTCCTCGAGCGGCGCGGCCCAGTCAGACAGGATGCCCGCGCCGTCCGCGCCCTCGTCGCCAGGCCCGTCCGGACCGAGGCGGCGGTGGCGCGGCTCCCGGCTGCCGACGCAGGCCAGGTCGCGAGTGTCCTGACCCAGCAGAAAGCCCGAGTCCCCGTTGGTCATGCCACCGTGTCGCGCCGAGCCAGCATCCACCGCCTCCGCGTCGCGGTGCTTGGAGCCGGCGTCCGGCTGGCAGGCGTCCGAGCGCGGGGCTGCCGAGGGCGGCGGACCACAAGAGTGGCCGGCGGGGATCGGACAGTAGCACAGACCGGGCTCCAGCTGTGCCCCGGCCGCCGCGAGGTAACGCCGAAGGAGCTGCTGAGGCGGCGGCGTCTCCTCCTTCTCCTCCTCCTCCTCCTCCTCCTCTTCGGGAGGCTCCACAGCGCCTACGCCTCCGCCAAAGCCGCCTGTGGCCCGAATCATTTTCCCGTCCAGGCCCGCGGAATCGGGCGCCGGCAAAGGGAGCAACTTGGGGTTTCTTGCCGAGCAGCCTCCGGCATCCTCCGGACCCACCATCTGGGGCCGGGTGAGCGCCGCCGGAGGAGGCAGCGGAAGATCCCCAGCACAGGCTTGGCCGGGGAAGAGCCCTGAATGCTGGAGCCGCGGCGGCTACCGCCGCAACGTTCCCAGACCCACCCCTCCCTCCCGGGAATTCGGGCAGTTGCAGGAGGGCGGGCACGCGCCTGGGCTCGCGCACGCGCAAAAGCCAGACCGGTCAAGCTTCGACCTGGAGATTCCGCGAACCATAGAGACGGTAGCTAGAGAGACCCACTCCGTGACACTGCGACCGGCGATCTGGGATCAGCCCTCTGGACAGTGGAGGCTGGTTGGCCCACTCCGAACAGGACGACCATTAGGGAAGCACGGGTATGCCTCCCTCAGCAAAAATTCACTTGATGTACTTATATCGGGCTTCTCTGGTGGCTCAGATGGTAAAGAATCCGCCTCCCAATACAGGAGACCTGAGTTCCATCCCTGAGTCAGGAAGATTCTCTGGAGAAGGAAATGGCAATCCTCTCCAGTATTCTTGCCTGGAGAATTCCATGGACAGAGGAAACGGTCAAGCTACAGTTCATGGAGTCACAAAGAGTTGGACACCAATGAACGACTAACACAATTTATGGGAATAGAATACAGGATTTAGAATCAGTCCTTCCACCTCTTAGTTTATATCCACCGCTCCATCCCCACTATTCAGGGCTGTTTTCATCTCAAGTTAACACGCTTCCTTCTCGACTTCATCTTTCCCAATATTAGCAAAGTTATGTTTCCCATCTAGGACAACGTTTCATCACATCACTCTTACAGATTTACATTATCACTTGAGAAGATAGAAGTAGAGTCAGGCAGAGAAGGCTATTGAAATAATTTCAGCACCCCATGAAAATGGATTAAAATGGGGTGATAACCAATGAATAACCAAGAAGTGTATTTAGGGTAGAAATCCCAAGATGTGATAACTGTTCAGACAGAAAAATTGAAGAGAGTGTTACCGAACATTACCAAGTCCGTGTGCCCAACAGATAGGCCAAAACAATGCTAAAATATTGGAGTTTGGATCAGAGAAACATTTATTACAGCACCATGGAAGGAGATGGGTGGCTCATACCTTAACCCCAAAGTTACTGAAAGCTTTCATCAAAGCACTTTATGGTTAGTTGCAACTTCTTGGTGTCAGAGCCTTTGTTCTTAAAGTCAGGTCATGGTCAGGTAACAATGTTCCTGTAAACCTCTACCAAACGAATGTTATTCTCTGTCCTGACAAGAAAGGGCAAGGTCCCAAGGTACAACTTTTAACCTCCAAGGTCCAGGTCCTGGCTAAGAGGAAGCAGAGCTCAGCTGGCGGTTCCCTCAGCATCAGGTTCCCCAGACCCTGACCAACTGTCATCACTGAGGGAGCCAGGCACCCAACTTATCTGGCCATCAGGCTTCTCAGGCCACCCAAAGCGGGACACCACATCCCACACACTGTGACCCAGGCCGACCACCACTACTATTAGGTCCCAGAGACAAGGATGGGGGAGAGGTTCACCGCTGCCTCAAGACCTGGGCCAAGGCTAGTGGAGGGCCTTGATGAGGGCTCTGAAGTCCTCCAGAACATAGCCCCAAGCCTTTTCTCTTGGTGCCCAAGCTCACTCACTGACCAAAGGCCAAATGAACTGGAGGGCCCCAGGGAGAAGGCCAGGATCCACCTTTTACCTCACTCTTCCCCCACGCACTGTTGGCTGAATCCCCTCACTAACTGTCCTTAACAGCTGGTTGCTTGTGGGTGGGGCCCACTGCTGAGCTGTCCAATATCTGAGCAGGGTCATCAGGGTTGCTCATTGACAATTGGTTGCCAGTGGGTAGGGGACCTCTGACGAATGGACCAATGGATGAGCAGGACCCATTTCCTGGTAACAGGGTGCTGAGTAATGGCACACAGCAATTCAGTTCAGTTCACTCACTCAGTCTTGTCCGACTCTTTGCTACCCCATGAACCACAGCACACCAGGCCTCCCTGTCCATCACCAACTCCCAGAGTCCACCCAAACCCATGTCCATCGAGTCGGTAATGACATCCAACCATCTCATCCTCTGTTATCCCCTTTTCCTCCCACCCTCAATCTTTCCCAGCATCAGGGTCTTTTCAAATGAGTCAGCTCTTTGCATCAGGTGGCCAAAGTTTTGGAGTTTCAGCTTCAACATCAGTCCTTCCAATGAACACCCATGACTGATCTCCTTTAGGATGGACTGGTTGGATCTCTTTGCAGTCCAAGAGACTCTCAAGAGTCTTCTCCAACACCACAGTTCAAAAGCATCAATTCTTTGGCGCCCAACTTTCTTTATAGTCCAACTCTCACATCCATACATGACTACTGGAAAAAACATAGCCTTGACTAGATGGACCATTGTTGGCAAAGTAATGTCTCTGCTTTTTAATATGCTATCTAAGTTGGTCATAACCTTCCTTCCAAGGAGTAAGCATCTTTTAATTTCATGGCTGCAATCACCATCTGTAGTGATTTTGGAGCCCAGAAAAATAAAGTCAGCCACTGTTTCCACTGTTTCCCCCTCTATCTGCCAAGAAGTGATGGGACTGGATGCCATGATCTTAGTTTTCTGAATGTTGAGTTTTAAGCTGACTTTTTCACTCTCCTCTTTCACTGTCATCAAGAGGCTCTTTAGTTCTTCTTCACTTTCTGCCATAAGGGTGGTGTCATCTGCATAGCTGAGGCTGCTGTGCTAAAAGCTGAGCTCACTGCACTCTGTTACAGGAGGAACCAGCCAATCACTACAAAACTCTTGAGAATGAATCTGATGTGGTTTTCAAAAATAGTTGTGGATTGGAAAGAACTTGATTAATAGGGGAAATATAGCTGGGAAAGTAAAATATCCAGCATTGAGAGTTCTAAAACTTCGGTTAGGGCTTCAGTTTAAAGAGGCAGATTGAAGAGGTATTTGCATAATACAACTAGGTGAGTCACTGGTAATTTCACCTGGGAAGAAAGACTAAAGATGAATGTGGGGCAGAGACTCAAAGGTGTCTCAAAAATTATTTAAGGATGGACAAAGAAATCATATTGCAAGGGACTAAAGAGACTAGTTGTGGACAAAATGAAGTGGCAGATATAGACCACTCATTCTAGAAGTATGTCAATGAAAGGATAGCAGTAGGAGAATGGAGAATTAGAGGAAGCAGCATTGTCAAGCCTTTAAAAAAAAATACATACACACAAAAAAGTGAATATAACCTATATATAAGTAATAAAATGCATAAATAAAATGGCTATCCATGTGCCTAGCACCCAGTTTAAGAAACATCATGTCTTTTATAGTGAGCATTTCTCAAGGTCCTAAGTAAAGTGCCAAGGGCATAGTTGGCAATACATTGCTTGTTTGTTTTTTCCTTTTTTGACTAAGAGTCCAAATCTTAGTGCAGGATCTTAGTTCCCTGACCAAGGATTGAACCCTTGCCCCCTGCAGTGGAAACATGAGAGTCTTAACCACTGGTCTACCAGGGAAGTCCCTAGCAATAAACTGATTATCAAGATTTTTCAGAAGAAGAAATGACCTCCAAGATACAGGTGGAAAAGTTAATATAGGAAGACAGAAAATATTTGTAATTCATATATCTGATAAAGGCCCAGTATCCAGAATATATGAAGAACTGAATTACAAGAAGACAACCCAATTTACAAATGAGTAAAGGAGTTGAACAGATATTTCTCTGAAGAAGATATGCTAATAGCTGTTAATAAGCATATAAAATGATGGTCACCATAATCTCTAGGGATATGCAAATCAAAACCTCAAAGATAGCACTCACACCCACTGTGCTGGGCTGTGCTTAGTCACTCAGTTGTGTCCAACTCTGTGACTCCATGGACTGTAGCCCGCCAGGCTCCTCTGTCCGTTGGGATTCTCCAGGCAAGAATACAGGAGTGGGTTGCCATGCTTCTTCCAGGGGATCTTCCTGACCCAGGGATCGAACCCAAGTCTCTTATGTCTCCTACACTGGCAGACAGGTTCTTTACCACTAAGCAGTTCTTTACCACTAAGCAATTCTACTCCTAGGTATATACCCCAAAGAATTGAAAACAGATGCTCAAACAAAACCTTGTATGTGAATGTTTAGAGCTGCACTATTCATAAAAACCAAAAGATGGAAGCAACCCAAATGTCCATCAGTAGAGGAGTTGGTAAACAGAATGTGACATATACACACAGTGGACTATTATTCAGCCATAAAAAGGAATTAAGTATTGATAATGCTACAAAGTAAATGAATATCAAAAAAATATTAAGCTAAGCGAAAGAAGCTTGACACAAAAGATCACATGTTGTGTAATTCCATTTATATGAACTGTCCAGAACAGGTAAATCCATAGAGAAAGCAGATTGGTGATTGTCAATGGCTGGGGCAGGGGAAAAATAGGGCAGGAATGTCTTATAGATAAAGGGTTTTCCTTTGGGGGTGATGAACATGTTTTGGAACCTGATACAGGTGGTTGTTGCATGACATTGTGAATGTACTAAATGCTACTGAATTGCACGTTTTTAAATGGCTTTATTTTATGTGAATTTCACCTCAATAAAAAAGTTAATGTAGGAGATATCTAGACATAAGTATAGTTGTACAGTAAAATGGTAAAGATAAGGGTAGCTAAGAGAATTTAATTTCAATCTTTTCTCTTTTCATCTTTTTTCCTCTCTTCCTAGAGAATTTATCTCTGCAATTTTCTTCCTGCTGCCAAACTTCCCTAACTTGTTATTTTTTCTAGCAACCACTCTACTTCTCCCTCTATGAACATCATACTATTTTTAAAATCAAGTTTCTTCAAGTTGTTTATTTAGCTCATTTCCTTCCTTCCTCATGGTCAATACAAGAAGCTTTTATGAACCATAATAGCCCATACAACCCTTCTGTTTTCTCATTGCAGACTTCAAAATTGACACACATTTATATTTTGTAACTGTCTACAATAATAGTACTGCATAATTAATAACATTAGTAATTCTTGTTAGTGATTAGT